TGAGAGTAAAAAAGGATAATTGACTTCTGTAAAATCCGCACATGAAACTACCTTTTGCAGCTGACCCCGTGCCGCCACGGAAACCAAGAGTGCCTTTATCGATACGGTCCTGATGTTGGACAGGTCCTTGAACACCAGCACGCTGTCGCCGCACCGCAGGGTTAAGTTCAAGGACCCTCTGCTGAGGCCCTGGAGATTGTCCAGCAACTGGACCATTGAGATGTTGTTGGGCTGTGAGACGTTGAGGCGTGTCGACGCCTCCTGCACAAGAACATTTTTGAACCAATTTTTTTTTTTTTTCAGACAAAAGTGACAAAGCTTAAGCAGCTGTGCGAACATTTCAGCAGTAGCCTATCGACCTAGCTAATTTTGTTAGCTCCATAGCGCTTTAAAAAATTACATTTTAGCTTCTCATTAAATTTCTTGGTTGTAATTTACTAGATCCTTGGGTGCTGTATTTTGTACCCAAACCGCTAAAGTCAACTAGCAAAGACTTTTTTTCTCGCTGACAAATACTCACCTGTTTGCAGGTCGGGCATTCCCAGTTCCGTGTCGTGGGCCGCGGCACACACCTCAGGCACACGGGGTGCCCGCACGGGATCAAGAGTTTGGGGAAATGCTGAGCTTTGTCGTACTCCTTCTTGCATCGAGGGCATTGCAAGAAACGCATGACGTGGCCGGTGGCCGGCATTCGGCGCCGACTGAGTTAGGCAAGAGAACATGATAGGTATTAGAGATTGACAGCTCCGGCCTGACATCCACCTTGGGCCTGACGCTACTGTGGTCCATGGTGATTTCTACTTTCACGGCAGGACTTCATTTTCTGGCTGGACCCTATATGGGAACGCGCGTGATGGGAGGATGGGGATGGGAGGCGCGGGTGGTGGGCCGGGGGCCGGGGAGGGGTGCGTGGAGGGTGGAGGCGACTTCGACTAAAGCGCTCCACGGGGATCCCCCTCAGCGCCCTGTCTGATTCAGCACTACATTCAGTTTTTCCTCCCAAGTAGTTTAAGTACAAGTTATTCTCGAACGACTCATAGACAGGTACTTTACCCACAACGAAGTTCGCGATGGAAACAAACACTTGAGAGAAATAACAGATAACTGTTGATCGCCGCACACTAACCTCTCTAGGTAACGCCGCTTTGTCACACACTGCACACTTGGTCTTGGTAAGAACAGCACGCGCACACCGCCGATCTTCGGTCCGCACTGTCACTTTAGACTCGCCTCTGTGCCAATACTGGAGTTAAATTTGAAAACAAAGTAAACACACTCAAGAGGCACAGCAACACTTTGACGACTGGCTGTCTGCGGCTGTCGAGCACTGTACTCCAGGGGCCTATCCAATCACATGCATCCTACATCCTATGTTGCCAGATGTTGCAGTTGTCGTTTGTTTTGGTCAGATATCGCCCAGTTATATCGCTCGATCCACCGATCGTTTTCTCTTATTAGGTTTCTCTTAACATGTAACGACTTCAGGTTACATATCACAAGTGAGCGAGATCGAAGTTTTGGCCAATAATCCACAGCTGCTGTGACTGACGCTCAACGCACCGCGCGTCGCTAACTTGACAGGCCTCTAGTGCGAAGCGCAGGCGCCTGCGAGGTAGGCAGCCTGGTGGATGGAGCTCGTCCGTGTGCAGTGGGTCGCCTACCTCGAGGCGCCCGGGGAGCCTGGGGAGCCCGCCTGCACCGCCTGCACGGTTGTGTGACTGCAGGCTGCAGAGTTGCCTTCCTCTTGCCAGCTGTTGATATGCTGATCCCTTTCCTACTAGTTGTTTTGCTTGTGCTAGTAGGGTCTCATCCAAATCTAAGTTGCACCATACTGAGCAAGCAGAAGTTGTTCGTCTCCAGTTTGTGATTTTGGATTTGATTTTGGGAGTCAAACTAGTCAAAGAAAGATGTTGTTGAATTATCTTCATCAAAGATGAAGAAACCTTTATTTAACAACTCGCTTAGCAATCAATAAAATAAGGGGGAAGAATTAACATGGTTGATGAACATAAATTTGACTTTCCATCATATTGCAAGAGCAAGAGAATTGATTGTTAAGAGCACTGTTTCGCTATCAGCAGAATATATAAGGCATTAAGTGTCAAATGCAAAGGCCATCAGAGGCTTTAGCTTCGATGTTCAAAAAATAGATATATTAAAAGTACAACTTCACAAGAGCATGACAAAACCAATCATCAACAATGTAAAACAGGTATCAGAGTGGGCACTGTACTGCAATTGAGGGAGATACTTGCTTCATGCAAGTAAAAATACCATTGCTGTAAGTGCAAAACAAAACTGAGCTAATATTAATAATTAGGCAGCAGGTGGTCATTAGTATTGTTTTCATGTGCAATTGTTGGCACTAGACAAAACAAACCATAAAAAATGGGTTAAGATAGAATTTTGTAAATAGGAAAAATAATAATATACATTTACAAAAACATCAAATAAGTATTCAAGCAGCAAATGAAACACAATTTCAGCTTGTTTTATAGTAATAATTCATATTGATTATCTGTAGACGGCATCACCAAAATGAAATTGTTAAAAAACCAGAAGAACAGAACAAGTTAACAATTAAAGACAAACAAGCCATAGGTAATAATACCATTTTTTTTTAAGCAAAAGAAAACCAAAGATGCTCAATGGCACTTTTTGTCAGGAATGGATCAGTGCCACATAACTATTCATGACCTTGAAAATTTTGAGAAAACGTGAAATTTGAGACAAAATATTTTAACAAGATTCATGAAAAGAGATTCACTGAAAGCAAGTAAAATACATTTTCACACAACTCATACATTACAGCCACAACTGAGAAGATTGGTTTTAAGAATCATTTTAAGAAACATTCCATACATGAAGTGGCAGTCATTAATAATATGTTTTACCTTAATGATGACCTATAAGTTCAAATAATAAAAGGGCACTGTCAAGGCTTCACAACGCTTTGAAAGGAACACAATAATAGAATTAATGACATAATCTCATCTGGAATATTTGTCTGTACTTTCCTTCAGGTATTTGAGGGGTTTGGTGTATATAAGAGGCTTTTGAGTCATGAGCTACCCAACCAGTAGACAAAATATGATTTTGGTGGCAAAGGAGACTGTGCATAGCCTTGTTCCTGACATTTCACTCAAAAGTAAAGAAAATACAGGTAACATTATAAGCTCAGTTTGTTAGGAATAAACTCTCTTTATGAAGGAGATGTTCAAAGCAATTTTACCAGAGAACAAAAAATTAGTTAAGTCAAATAAAGCACAGTACGCCATAAAGACCTCATCTCCTCAAGCATATCAGAAATATGTGGTTGATGGAAAACAAAGAAGGTATGCCCCCAAAAATTATGAGACAATCAGTTTCAGTTGAAAACCATGTGTTAGTAAAGGATCTTAAAAATCCATTACTGTAAAAGCGACAGAATAGTATGCTCAAAGAAATAATTGAGGTTCGCGCATAAAACTTTATCTTAAATAAAACTGAGGTTTCTCCACAATCCAAAAAGCTTAAATCAAGCTTCTGTGTTGTGCTGATACATATCTTTTTATTTACATATTACTACACACACAGCAACAGTGTACAACAACAGTTGTCAGAATACTACAGTAATCCAAACCAACAGCCATGTACTCAGTCTATGACTATTTACAGAATCTTGATGGTATAAAACAATTTGCCAATAATGGCAACCAAAGCTCACTTTTTCTTCTATATATAAAAAAAGTTAGAGCCTACAAATGTACGAATTTATTTCACTTGGATAATTTAATGATTTTAGGACTATTGATGGATGTGATGACATAACTGTAGTAACAAAATGCCATACAGCAGTCGTTTCTGCAGTTACGTTCAAATCAATACTACTATTGCCTTCTTGGATATTTCATTACTTTACCTACAAGTGAAGTTTTTTTAGATTTCTTAAATAACATGTACAGAGCCATACAAAATGTATAGGAGATTGATCCTTAATGCAAGCAAGACTTGTAAAAAATGCTGATCACAATAAAGTTTTCTTGCCTACAGGCAACTGCATCAGTACGTCGTGTAGAACACCTGAGACACAACTCTGAGTTTATTCACAGATAAAAAGATCCCATGTAGGATATGGCCCAGCACTAACATATCATCTTCAAAAATCTGAAAAGGTTCTCATGATTGAGACCTTAAAGCAGCTAATCCAAGACTCTTCAGACTCTTCAATGTTTCATTCTGGGCAAAAAAAATTTCTAGCACTCAAATAAAAGGTGGTCTGATAACAGACTATTCAAGCCACATATGTGTACACTTTCCTGGAAAGGTGAAAGGACAATCATTAATTAGGGGTATTTAAATCACAGAGCTGTACTTGCAAACAAAATTTAATAAATTGCTTACCGATCCTCAGGTGTCCTAGCAAGGTATTCTCTTTCTATAAGGCCTTCTATTCTCTTCTTAATAATGACAGGAGATGGTAAAAATCGACTCTTGAGCTGTTCTGTTACTTCAGCCACTAGAACATTGTGCTGTAAAACCAAACATAAATTGATTATTGATATCTACTTATAGACATGTTACAGAAAGTTATCACACTGGACAAGAGGAATACATACAGCCATACGCTTCCGTGCTTTCATTATTCTCACAATTGCTGCTTCAATTTCATGCTTCCTGTCTTCATCCACTTTATTACGTGTTTCTTTTCTTTCTGGTTCTGATTCACCCTTTGCAGCAACTGTTTGAATCTTAACCCTAAAAAAATAAATAAGATACAGTTACAGTAATTCTTTTGTCTACTTTACAAATGCTACAGAGCATGTTAAATCTACTTACCTATGTAACTTGGAAGAAAATGAATCATTGATTTGAAATGCATGATTTGCTTCTATTTCCTTAGTTCTAGGTGTTTTAATGAGAATTCTTTGAGTAGCTTTGCCCATGGCAAGAGACTGTAATGCTCTTATAAGGTCTCGCTCAGGAATATCTGTTTCATTTTGAATTTCCTGATAAATTTAAAATATTTAGATTAGATTATACTGAAATTGGGAGACTACAGAAGATAGACACAAATTAGTTTTTACTACCTCATAACTAAGTTTTTCTCGGTTATTAAATAACATCAACACACACATCTGGTAGGTGGATACTTGAATAATGTGTTTTCGTGGACCAGCAGGACCTGAACCAGATGACATTAGGCTAGTGCTTGAACTAGCACCATCTCTACCTTCGCCTTCCTCCCTCCGAGGTCCAAAGAAAACTGCATTGAGGTCTGCTGAGCCAAGTTGAGGTTGAAGAGTCAACTGGCGTCCACTGTGCTTTCCTAAGTAAAATCTAAAAATTGGGAAAAGGTGGAAAAAATAATTACGTATTATGAGGTTAATTTGATCACTGAATGCAGCAGCGTTTATGTCTGACAACTAAGGCAAAATGACTCACACTCTGAAAGTTTCAAAAGCATTACGAGGTGCAGTAGGGATGCTACACTTAGGTGTTGCACTCTGTGTTGGCCAAAAGCCAGTGGTAAGAACACGGACACTTAGGTCTACACCGTGTAAAGTTGTCTGAAACAAAAGATTATAAAATAATACATGTAGGATGACAGGAGTAGTAACTGAACTAGCACAATTACAATTACTGCAGTTTTACCTTGACCGCCACAATATGTTCCTTGAACTCCTCCATGATTGTATTAGAAACAGTCATATCCTTAAACATTCCTTCTAGCTTGGATGTGAATTGGCATCCACATTCAGTCTGTAAAAAGGCAAAAAATTATTAGTGCACTATTCGCTTTCATTTAACTGTATGGAAATTCAATTAATAAAACATTATAATTAACCTTTAGTTTTGAGATCATATTTTTCTCACTATCATCGCTGACAGACTTGTTCAGTAAAAGCCTCTTTGCAAGATGCTGTTTGTAGTAACGTTCAAACACATCCTTCTCTTGCAAGAAACGGAATAGAACCATAGTCTTATCCAACACTTGTTCTATTTCCTGCTCTGTCATCTATAGGAGCATGGTTTCATAAGTACCAATTATAACAAACTTTTCACAGTAAAAATTTAGTTGGACATTGATTACTTACGCCCTTTACACCCTTCTTTAATTTGTCATCAATAAACAGAGAAAGGTACTCTGGAGACTTAGTATTTAAATTAAGGAAGTACTCAAAGTCTGAGGCAATAACTTGTTTAAATGTTTTGTCATTTCCAAAAGATTCATGAAGGAACTTGTCAAATCGGTCTTTTAGGTCCAGTAGATTCTGGGAAAGAAAATTAGTATGCATGGTATAGTCTGTCCAAACAGGAATATAAAAAGCAAATATAATTGACCACAAATACCTGTACAAATGTTATGGCATTTGTTCCAGCTTCCTCTTCCTGTACAAGAGCCTTTCCTTGTTCCCTTAAGTATGTACTCACACACTGTGAGACGGTCTTTAAGCCTTCACTGACTCTACTAAGCAGCTTGTAGAGACGTGCTAAATCTTCTGTCTTTTGATTCTTTAGCATGAAAACCACACCAGAGTTCTCCATCTGTGAGAGGAAACCATTAAAAATTGTTATTCAAACTAAATCAGTTTTGTAAGTTTCTTGAATAAATGATGAGAATGACGTAATGAACTTACTTCAACAATAGTGCGCATGTGCTTGTTTATTAGTTCCTCCTCCACAACTCCTACGATATGCACTTCTGTAGATTCATCTAAATAGTGTTTAGCACGCTCAGCTTCTTCATTGATTCGAGCTTCAACCTTCTTAATGTAGGCTGATGCACAATTTTCAGCAAGGAATTTTTGGCTTTCCATCTTAAAGGTTAAAAAAAATATTATCAATAGTACAAGTAGGTCAGAAAGTTTGAGGCAGCAATCCTTACACCAAATACCTTGTAAAATTCAGCAGACTGCTGCAAAAAAGGGCGTTCAAAATCCTCTTCATACACAGAACGGCTGTTGATACCCAAGACCATAAGCATCTGGCATCCATTTTTAATGGCAATTCGGTCTACTACCTCTCCTTTGCGTTCCCGCATAACCATGTCCAGGAGAGTATCCCTTAGATGATCTCTAATGCATCCATATCGAACAACCTAAAAATGATTGATTTTTTTATAAAACAATGTAGGGTTTGGTTTTTCAATATGTTTACCATACTGTTAGCATTTCAACATGGTTGTGAGTTCATTAATATTTACCTGATCTCGGAAGAAAATTAGCCCGAGATTGTAAACATTGTCTACATCATTCTGTTGAACATAAACTCGGTCCATGTACATAAGAATGTCTCGAATCATAACCATAGAAGTTTGATGATCATTCCAAGCTTGGTTCAATGTTTGAAGAAAATTATTATGTAAAGCACGCAATACATCTTCTCGGACCTGAGAGTAAGATGATACAATGATTATTTTACAGCCCAGTAACCTCTAGAAAGAACATTACATTCATACATTATTGCAAACACACAAAAAAAACATACCTTTGACTCTAAATGCTGAGTAACAACTTCTTTTAGTCCAGTGTAAAGCCTTTCGCCATGCTTATGGAGAACCATAGTGTAGGCATTTCTGTATAACTCCTCAAAGCTAAGACCTGAATTATTCTTCTTTTGGATTTCTTGAATAGCATTTTTGAGGAGTAGCCAAATATTTTCAACATATTTTTCATCCATACTCATCTGGAATACAATATATAAAGTAAAAAATATGTAAAAACTAAAATTTAAGTGTTTTTTAAAAGGGTGTAAGCAAATAATAATAATAGTAATAATGGAGGGGAGTAAAATGGAGGGGGATGCAGATAATGTACTGGTGTTGGTGTAACTCCATTCCTTAGTTAAGCTCAATGTTTCAGAATGTAATGTTGTCAGTGACAAAAACTCATAAACAAACAGCACCAAAGCCTCACCAAGCATGAGGGTTGGATTCTGCTGGTTCCTTCCGAACCCGGGTTCCATTGACTGAGGACAAAGTGGGGATTTCTGCTCATGGTGCTTGCCCAGTTTCTCTAATTAGTGACGCGAATGGAGGGTGAAGAGAACGGCCTGAGGAGGAGTTTTTCGTGCACCGCTATTAGGCGACCATGCAAACGGGTTTCAAGTTGACTATACTAAAATTTTGCCTAAACGACCGAGGGAAATCAGGCCGGCGACCGGCAACAATCGTGCAGGGAAGGACGAGAGGAGGGAAGAGGGGGGGGGGAGGAGGGGGCCGACAGCAGACTGTCGCGTGGAGCACAGTATGTGGACTGGACGACTGGACACGCGGACGAGGACTTTGGGCCGAGAGAAAGGCCCGACAGAGTCCCCTGAGGCTGAGGGGCTGAGGACGTTGACGTGGACCAGATGTCGGTCTGCGCGACCATGGCGACCACGAGAGGCATGGTTAACAGAAATTTTCTAAGTTGACTTCTAGTGCCCTATCCCCACCTATGGGAATCATCATATCAATTTCAACAAACATTTCTTGTATTCCCTCAACCTGCATTGGCGTAAACTGACTAGTATTCAGTTTGAAGTAAGAAGTACAAAGTCAGCTGGTGAATTTCTGAATTTTTGAAAATCATTTTCATTTTCATTTTACATTGTGACGTTAAGAGTGGATACGTGAGAGGCATTGAAAAGGAACACAAAGTATATACATGACATAAGGTGATCTTCAAAATGCAAATTGTATGCAGCTACTCCTATGTCAAGGACATGACTTAATTGCTAAATGTCTTCACAAATGTCAAACAAAAGTTTGGAACATAGTTTACTAGTGCACAATGGTGATGTGTAGTGTGCAAACCCAAAAAACTTACACAAAAAACAAAAAAGAAACAAAAAAAACACCAACAGCAATTTGGTCAATATTACTTCTTGCTGTAAATAAACTAACAATTTATCAGTTTTGGGAGTGTTTTAAAGCTGTAAGAGATAAATAGATGCTGTTTCAGAATTTAGCAGATTAATCAAAATATTTGGCTACTTGGTGAGAAACAAAAAGATAAAAAAACTATCTTATCACCATAAGTAGTACAGTACTGCCACGCAACAGATTTGCCTATCATAAGAACTTGTTCAATAATTAAAGAAATTTTAAATAAACAGAATTTGGCTGATGAATGTAAATCTGAGCTACCTTTCAAAAATTTTAATATTCATGTAAAGTTGCATAACATGGCAGTTAAAATTGATACAGAATTTTGAAAGAATCAAGTTTGTAACAGTTGAACAAACTTAGAGCAACAGTGAAATAAAACTGAATGAGTAGACATACTATTCATGAGAAAGATTAGTGTAAATTTATAGATTTAAAAAAAATCAGGATAATGATTGTGCATGACACAGGACTTTGTTGAGAATTTGTCTAACATCATAAACTTCATGTTTATCATTTACTTGCCAACACCTTCTATATTGACATGACACATTAGAGCTTTGTAAAAGATATCGAATATGAATGATATGTGAGGATTTAAATGTGGAATTGAAGGTGATTCTAACCTTACATTGAAACCCATAACAAAAGAAATGTACCTACACCAGATTTTGATAATTTGAGTCATTTGAGGTAGTGGTGAAATTTTAATAAAACTAGATATGGAGTTAATGTTCTGCTGATATTGTCTTCCACCAAACAACAATAACAAATTATTACATCCTGTGTGAAGATGACAACTTAAATGGGGGTTTCATAACCTAGAACTATGGGCAAACATTTGCATTTGAACTTTGGAATAAATGTAAATTACTTACCGGAAATGCTCTAATGCGCATTTTCGCCTCCTTCTTCATCCCGCTTTTAATCATTTTGGATATTTTGAAGGACCCTCAGGATGATTAAGGATGTAGGGCCTAGGCCTATCTGGAATGCACCATCAAAATATCACAAAGGTGTATCAGGCTGGATTAAGTTCGCGATATATGTCGTCACTGCCAATTCTATTCAGACAAGAATTCATTTAATGCTGCTGGAAAGTGCAAAAGAAGCAATCCTAAACAAAGATTTCCTCTGCACTCTGTGAATGTTTCACACAACAGACGACGAGCGAGAGCGAATAGCATAACAAGAAGATTGACCTTCCGAAAAGTAGTCCAAGAGGTGCATACAATAAAACTGACCACATTAGATTCTTCTGATTCAATAGTGAGGCTCTCGCCTTGGGTTTTTAGGACATTTCTTCACAAGGCAATTCCAACGATATCACTTTCCACTTCCACTAAATGTCACACAACAAGCAGATGTGTACACCGTCCGCTGTAGATCCAACCACCATAAAATTACGATAGTTACTTAATTCAACTGCGTGGACATCGTTCATTTCCCAGTCTACTGTGAGTGTCTGAAATTGTCAATTGCGATTCTTTATTTACTTGGCCTATTACAAGTACCGCGTTATTTCTACACATTTAAACTATGGCTTTTTAATAAGCTCAGCTGATTGTACGTTGGCTATACACAGCTAGAAAGAAATACCAATATTTAATTTGTGTAAACACAGCGTAGGTTCAGATATTAGATGTCACACTCCATAATACTGTAGAGAAGTATACTAAAGAAACCATTTTCATTTCAATCAAACATTATTTTGTACTCTTCCTAGTGTAAGATACTGCAGAACTATTGGCACAGTTTTCTGACTTTTATCTAACAGTTGGCTAATCTGTCTTCTCCTGGAGACCTTACATCGCGCGCGATTTTTGAGTGGAGCGGTGAAATAAATTCACAGGAAATGGAAATACGGACAAATGCCATCGACTTCCTTCCCTGTAACGTACATTTTTCAAGGCCCTCTGCCCGTAAAACACTTCCGACAGTGTTAGTTCTACGATGCACGTTTAGACGTGGTATCGAGCGTGATGCAGTAGAAGCACCCTGATCGGCTTGGCTCGAGCCAAACTTCGAATTCCAACGTGACTTTAAAATCCTAACTAAAATATTGTTACAGTGCAACACTCCGTGTCCCCAAGCAAGGCACAGGAACTCGGACATATTATATACAGGCCAGACTGAGGAGAACTTCCCTCTTATGACTCCTGGAATTAAGCGTTTAAAGACCTGGGATTAAGGCTTTCCCCACTCGATGGTGCTCTGTCTCCCGACATTCCTCGAGGTGGGTCGGGATGGACTCGTTGGGGTCTCGCCCTGTGGGTTGGGTACCCACCTACCCACCTATGCCCAACATACTCGCTGCTGTGCCCCGTGTGCCCCGTCCCGCCCGCCCCGTCCTTCCCCGCCTCACCGCTTTTCAGGCCGCCCGAGAGGCCGAGCCGAACACAGCCGCCGCCGAGCCGAGCCCGCCGAGCGGAGCGAGTCGTTCGAGTGCCCGCAGAGTGCCCCAGCCTCTCTCCTCCTCCTCTACTCCTCCTCTGCCTCGGCCAGTGCCCGTCCCGTGCCGCCGTCCAGCCAGCAGCCAGCCAGCCAGGCAGTCAGTAAGCTCGGTTACCTTGGAGGCCACAGACGCAGCACCGGTTGCTACCTGCCGCTCGCGTCGTGCCGCGGCTGGAGGAGCGCGCGCGCGTGTGTGTGAGTGTGTGTGTGTGTTTGTGTTTGTGCGTGTTCTGCGGGCTTCATGTCACTTGCACCCGACCGTCTGCACGCCTAGAAAGAAGATGGAACGCTGTCGGACCGATGGATTTCCCTCGTGTGCAGGTGAGCGCCGCGCCTTCGGCGTCGCCGCGGCCTGGAAAGTGTCGTTGTTCGCCTCCCGGCTCCGCCACTGTTTTAAGGTCACTCGCGTTCTCCGCGCGCCCCCCGCCGATGACATGGGAAGAGGTCGGTGGTCACGGCGGAAACTCCGCGGCTTAAATCTCCAGTGAAGTCGGACTCGAGAGGATCACCGATTTTCTGCTCCTGTCCGATTTCCGCACGTAGCGTCGACCGACATCACCAACCAAACCGACACACCTGTTGTGTGGTGCTGAAACAAAAATGCCAAAAATGGGAATTCGCCGTTTGATTTGCCCCGAGACCCGTGATCAAACAAGCCCTTAAAAAGCGCGTCGACGCGTGTGGTCCTTCAGGCGCGCGCGCGCGCATACACACACGGGCGCCTCTCCCGCCCCCACCACTCCACTCCGGCCGCCCCTCTCCATCTCCTCCAGTTTACTCATCTTTTTCGTCGAATGAATGACCGTCTCGTTTGCGATTTCGCGGCGCCCCCCGCCGGGCTCCCAAAGGTGTGGGGGCGGCGGGGGTGGGGGTTCAGGAGGCGCCGGCTTCCCCGTCGACCCCCGCCGGTGTAGGTTGGCCTGCAAGCGTGCGGGCGCCGCCGGGAGCATCCCCTCAAGGGGAACTTCCGCGTGCAGCCCCGATGACCCTGCAACACGGCGAGGCGGGCGGAAGTCCCAGGGGCGGTATTCGGTGAAAACCGCATGCGGGCCGCGCGAGTAAATCCACAAATCCACCTCTCTCTCTCGTCAGCTGCTGGACCACCCAACCGCCGGGGCGGGCCCGGCATTCCCCTCCCCCTCCCCTCCCCCTTCCCCGAATTTTAAATAAAAACACACCTTGGCCCGCGGCCGCCGCTAACGTTTGCGTACCAATGAGCGGAGCGCGGCCCGTGGAGTGTTTACCGCGATGGCGTAAACAGACTCAAACAGTGAGGCCTGTCCGAGACGAACCTGGTCTTCGTCAACGTCGCACGGAGGAGTTAGGGGTGGAGTGGGAGCTCGCCGAAAGAGGCGGCCGAAGGGTTGAAGCAGCCAGCTTGAGCAGGAGGGTGCGGTGCGACCAAACTTAAAATTGCTTTCTTGGTGGTCTTACCACCCCGCCCCGCCCTCGGATAGGACCCGACATGCCTTCTCGTTCTTGAGAAACCCATTCCGACTTAAATTTGCATCGTCTACTTCTGCTTCCACGATCGCACGATTCGTCCCTTGACTCCGTCGCGGAGCAAACGCGTATACTTAGCCTGCATGCACGGGTGTGGGCAGGTTTGCCTATCGTCTGGAATCATAGCGCTGTCCCGTGCGGATAGGCGACCCGTCCGCATGCCTGCGTGCGAGCTAGTACGCCTTTGCTCCGACGGGGCGCAGCGAGGTTTCTGCTAACTGTGTCCTTCTGTCACTGTCCCCCCTGCAGGGCGCTGGCTGGTGGCGCTGCTCTTGCTGCAGCTGGCCGCCGCGGCGCTGGGCTCGCTGTCCGGCCTCTACATCGACAACGGCGTCGACCAGACGCTGATGCAGCGCTCGCTCACCCGCCACGAGCGCCAGGAGGTGGAGCACGAGATCCTGAACCTGCTGGGGTTGCCGGACCGGCCGCGGCCCCCGCAGCCCAGCCACAGCCGCCTGCGCTCCGGCGGCGCCAAAGAGGCCCGCCAGCGCGGCCGCGCGCGCCTGCACCCGCACCTGGGCGCGTCCGCGCCGCAGTTCCTCCTCGACGTCTACCAGTCCCTGGAGGAGACGGGCAGCCTGCTGCACCACGACGACGGCAAGGCCGGCGACTTCAACATCACGGGCAACGACCAGACCGCCATCGACCAGAGCGACGTCATCATGACGTTCACCAGCCACAGTGAGTAGCTGGAGGTAGACGAGCCAGTCCATCTTCTCTTCGGCCGGTGTATTTGAACCCATTCTCCCCCAGACAAGCACGTGAGTGGGCTGCGGCACGAGCGCGGGAAGCGGCTGTGGTTCGACGTCTCCGAGGTCCCCGTCGGCGAGGGCATCATGGGCGCGGAGCTCCGCCTGTACCAGAGGCCGGCGGCCCGCGACGCGCACGTCCAGGGCGACGGCACCTTCACCATCACCGCCTACCTGGTCGTCAGCGTGGAGCACGGGTAAGCGAAACACGTAGCTCGAAATGGTTTGACAGCGCCCGGACCCCATTGAATGAGTACGACAGAGGAATGATGCAGGCCGCATTCTCTCTCGCACTCGCCTTTAGCGCCGCAAGCGCCGTTGGTCCCGTCTCTCTCGCACGGTCTCGTCCCGTGTACAGGTAGTCGAGGTAGTCCGGAGGGGAGGCGGTCGGAGGACCACACGTCGCCGCACCGCCGCCGGGCCGGCGCCACCAAAGAGCGCCACGGCGCCTGCTCGGTGGTGGACACTCCTCGACTTCTCAACAACTCCTCATCGCGGGGGGTAAATAGGGGGGGGGGGGCGTCATGAAAAGAGACTAGACACCGTACACAGTTTCTGTTGCGGTGCACACCGTCAATTATCCAACCGGACTTATCGATTCTGGTAAAATGGTATAATGACAAGAGTGCGGCGGTGCCTTCGGCGCGCTGCTGCATCAGGCTTCACTCCCTCCCTCCCCCCTTTTGATCCCTTGTCCCGCACCTGTCCGCACCCGCAGCGCATCGAGTTACACAGCGGCCAGCTGAGGAGCCGGCCTGGCTGGCTGGTGTGTCCGTGTGCGGTGTGTCTGTGTGTCCGTGTGTTGTGTCCGTGTGTTGTGTCCGTGTGTGTATACGCTTCCCGCAATAAAAGTGAGTCACTTTGCCGGCCGGAGAGCCCGAGAGAGAGGGAGAAGAACAGCACACTCGTACGTTAGTGCCCGTTGTCCGCGACGCACTCACACACCGCGCACTCGAGAAGGGTTTGCTGCAGTCCGTCGCGCCGCTCACCGCGGAGCTATACCGTACCGCATTCAGGCGTGCGAGCGGGTTGCCTAATGGCACGGCGGCCACGACGGCAGCCGAGCCACCCGGAACGGAGCCTCGCGCGAGCCCGTCGTCATGATCGCCGCGACTCCGACAGCAGGAGCTGCGCATGCGAAAGAGGGGTACCCCCCCGCTACCTACCACCAGAACCCAAATCCCGCCAACTCGCGAGCGCAGAGCATTCCCTCCATGCCATCTACCCCGTGACCTTGCCATGAGTTCCCTCCAACTCGCTCAGGCACGCGGACCCCGCCCCCGCGCCGCCGTCGTCCATGGCCTCATGGCAGTCGTCAGCCTGCGTCAGCCAGAGATAAGCGGGCAGTGTTGTTACCCATGAGTACCAGGAGCTGGCCGATTTACAACTGTTCTATGCAACAACAACAGCACACGTGCCGCCTATCTCTACCCCGTCTGCCTCCCGTCTGACCCCCTCCC